TACCAATATCTAGCTATCATACCAAGGGAAGAGCTGAAATGGTAGCAGAAGAGAAGAGAATGGCTGGGCGGCCATTATTGGGTTGGGGGGATTATGGCAAGGGACGTTTACTTTGAGCGGCCTCGAGGGATTTTATATTCACATCTCAAGCTTCCCCACATTTTCAAAAAAATTTCACTGTTAGGGCAACTGAGCACGCGACAGCTTTCTGGAAGCGGATGATTGGTTATGGTAAGCTGTTGCTCCTGGGTGCCAAGATGTGATGTGACCTCTCGTATGCAGGAGATTTCGTGAGCTGGAGCCCGACCGCCACTCCAGCATGTTAAAGCAGTCACTCATCTAATTACTGTAAGTCGTCCTCCACCACTCTTGTTGTCCCCTCAATTGTTCATCAGTCACTAAATCGGAAATGAGAGGGTTCCTCCCTCGACCCAACTGTCACAGTGAGATCACAGCATAGATATCCATTACACCGGTACAGTACAGTACAGTCACACCCCGCTGTCGATAATCCGGATACCTTACTACTCCGTATGAATATCCGTGAATTCTAAATTTTTTTACACCAAAACCCGACCTGTTGTCCCGGATCACCCGCTATACCGGACAGATTCTTTGGATTTTGGCCGGGATAGCGGGGTGCGACTGTACATGTATCCTACCTATCACACTCGTACAGCTGACACTTTAGCCTAGTTCAGACCTTACTTTAGTTTAAATCGATAAGCAATTTCGACATGGCGCTCTATCAGACTTAGTGACCTACTGTATGGTCTAAAGTGCGCGGCACGAGCACCGACTGTCTAGTCTAGTTTAGTCTAGAGCGAAACTTCTATGATTTTGTAAGTCGCAACATCTAGCGAAGAAACGGCCGCAGAACGACCTTCTTTAACGCTTAGATGTCCGTCACGAAACAAACCCCGATTTCCAATTCTCTCATTTGCAGCAGTCTGCTTCTGCAATTGCTTGTCTCAAGTTAATAACACAAATCCAAAAATTTATATCTAGGAAGGGGTTTTATCTACGAGTTAGACACCCGCATTCACGGCATGGCGGCGAGGTGAAAGTGCTCGGGTCAAGTGGCGTCACCTCTAGCTCATTGATGGAAAGAAGTAACTGACTGCTCCAAAAACATCCTTCCTCTTCCCTTGTTGCCGGAACGGCTTTCCATTTCACAAGTGGGATGAATCAGAATCCCTGCGCTTCACTCAATCCTGGCTGTGGACCAACTTCCAGGTACAGGCACCCAGAGTTTGTTTCCCCGCCCCGGGAGAGGCACTTATGATCCTAGAATAATAGAAAAAAAACTATGCTTTTTTTTTTCATCTGGCTTTGTTCTGCTGACGATATGGAAAAGGAGAAATCTCACGAAGCTAAACCTACTACATCATTCTTACACACGCGGCTTGTTGGTATATATACGCTCCATCGCCCCTCCCCCCGCCTAAGGGCGAGATGAACTCCTTGGTGTTATCATCGCCTTTGATGCTTCATCGCCCTCCTTTACGATTTATACACAGAAGGGAGCAGGCATTGTAGCTACATCTACACAGACCCAGCGCATGACATTCTGATTTTAAGCTTAAATATTTTATCCACTCTTTAAAATTAAACAATATTCTCCACGATGCGAGCAAACTTTACATGGGTACTACTTTTTGCCCTTTCTTGCTGCAATATCTTTCTAGCCTCTGGTCACCCTGTATCACCAGTTGATCCTTCGGTAGCATGTTCAGGGTATGTTTAAATTTAAGCTTCATAGTTTGCATTTCCACTGACATGATAGCAGGAACAGCGCTCCCAGACTAGCATCCCTACTACGACGCTCTATTGTACCCCGCGATAACAGTTCAATAACCACTTCTGACGGAAATGGCAATAATGGGGGTCATGACACCTTACTAGAGGCCAACGTAACTGCAGCCATCGCCGTTGCTATAGCCCTTGGGATTTTATTGGTCCTTGTTGGGCTGATGAGTGCATTCCGCATGGGCTGGTCCAAGGGACTTGAATACCAAAAGGAAGGACCAAAACTCGGCTCAACGGAATCGACCGACCCTCCCACCGACCCTAGTGTGACCTGGACAGGCGAACCGCCAATCATTCGCGGAATGTCAGAGCGTGACATGAACAGCCTTTACAACGCAGCTGTTGGAAGCCCCGGCAGGCATAGCTTCAGGCCTGGGAAAGGGGTTTACGAGATTCGTGACGGGCCGAAACGGGGGAGAACCAGGAATGGGCATGTCAGTGCTTGTGTTGTGGCTTTAGATAAGGGCAAGGCGGCTGATATTGGGACTTGGTGATGGCTATTGTTTCTTTCTCTTAGAGTTCTCTACCTCTTTCATTTCAATTGATTCTTAACTACATTGGGAAGGCATAAGTATTTTACGGCGCTATTGGGGATTTCAGGGCAGCATATGGGAAAGGAGGTGAGTGGATCGGAGTTTTTGCGTGCTATCATCAGCCTTTGTTTACTCTCATCATCATCATCACCGATTACTTTTTTTTTCTTGTTTATTTAGGAATTAGTAGGGGATAAAAAAGAACGGAGTCTTGTATTTAATGGACGTAATGTTATTTAAAATTCGCATCCTATGAATCAGATATACCTTCGGATTTGGCTTTCCATAGAAAGCCTTTACGCTAAGATTGGTTTTTGAAACCACGGTACTTTTATTATGAGATTTGAATAGTGTATCTACCAATGTCTGGGAACACCAGCGGAATCGAATGAATGACATGAAAGAATCAATCTTAGTGCGCAGTCTCTCTGATCCAGAAAATTCTTTTCAAAGCACCGCTAGGGCATCCCCTATCTAGATACCCACGGACGGTGGATGTAAAACGCGCACTCGCAATGCTGGTCCGGATACTCAGATTACTCGCTGTTTAAGTGCCGTCGTCTGTATAAGACATGACTTTGTATTGGCTCACAAAGTTCAAGCCCGTAGAGTACCGGTAATGCAGACGTTCTGGTAAACTTGCTTTTGTTATCTGAGCACCGTCCTTGGCGCAGCAGAAGATACTGCAGCTTCGAAAGAACGGAAAGTGAGTGTTATACGGTAAAATTGCGCTGAAGATAGCCAGGCTGAGACCGGGCATGGAAGTGCTGGCTTGGACTTCGTAATGATCGAGGCTGCAGGGGTGGGAGGGTGCGGGTGGCAGAAACGGAGTTTTTGAACTTTGCTTTGGTAAATTGTTGAAATAATTATCCTTCCAGCCTGGATGTCAAATGTCAAAAGCTCCCATGACTTCAGCTCTTCTTTAGATCACCTCAGGCCTACTTGTGCAATTAGTCAGGGCCGTAATTGGGCGAGTCGAGAATGCCAAGAATCGAGGTTTACTTGTTCAAACTCACTGAATCTCACTCGCCCTCCTGCCATCCCTTGGGCGCTATCATGAAAAGTGGGAGGAGGCAATTTATTATATAGCCCTATGTAGCATATCGAAGAGCCTTTTGTATACCACACGAACTCATGAAGCTTACTGTAAGAGTTGCTCGGTTTATTGGCGATTATTAGCCCCTCGAAATGATGACTTGCTGATACTAACCATTGCGCAACGACGAAAACTGGTCCGCGATCCGGGGAACATTTTGCAGATGACGACTCCCACTCCATATAGCAAGCAAACTTTCTCAAATGCCCCCTCGTCCCCTCTCCTCTCTCTGGGCTCTCATCATAGACCTGAAATGGAATTCAATCAACCCCCGCTTGATGGCGAGAACCCAGCTATGGCATGGGTGGTCCTCCTCACAAACGCTTCTTATCTCCCTGGAGTCGTTATCCTTGGATACTCACTTCGGAAAGTTCCCTCTCGGTACCCTCTTATTGTGGCTGTGACCCAATCACTGGGGGATAGTTCTGTCAATGTTTTACGAAAATTGGGGTACGAGGTCAGGACAGTTGAGCCTCTGAGACCGCGTATGAGGGTCAACCTTGCTGCTGAGCGGTTCGAAGATACATGGACTAAGTTGGTTGTATTTGGCTTTTACGAATTTAAAGTAAGTCTTCACAGCCAATCAGTTTGAGGTTTAGGTTGATGATTATGTTTCGGAGGAGGTGCTAGGTGGGTGAAAGGATGCTGAAGGATACAGAGGATAGTCCTGATAGATGGGGATATGACGGTTGTGCGAAACATGGATGAGATATTCAATTTGGATATCCCTAAAGACTGGGTTGCTGCAAATCATGCATGCGTTTGCAATATCGATAAAGCGGACTGGGCCGATCCTGATTGGTTGGCTGCCCTCCACCAAGACTACCTCCATCGCCTCCTCTCATCTTTCATATCACGTAGGGGCTAATCTTTTACAGGGTCCAGGAGAATTGTGCATAAACCTCTAAAGCACCCGGAAGCACTTGCTCATCCAACACTAATCCTGCCTACATCTCCCAGAACCCACTTGCTTCTAAATTCGGGTTTAGTTGTGTTGCATCCTTCCAAGAAACTTTTCGAAGACATGGTTGACTTGCTGAATACTTCACCGCTTCTTCCTACGTTCAAATGACCTGACCAGGACTTCATAGCGGTCTTCTTTTGCGATCACTGGCTACCCATCGGATATCAATACAATGCAATCAAAACGGCACGATACAAGCACCCAGAGATGTGGAGAGATCTTGAAGTGAAGAATGTTCATTACATAGTGAAGAAGCCATCGAGTGTGGGAAGATCCATTGGTGAGCGAGATGAAGTACTACATGGATGGTGGTGGGATGAGTTTGCAAACTGGGAGAAGGATGCGGATGAAGATATTGTGAGGGAAGTAAAGAAGCATATGAAGGAGGGTGAAAGGTAGACGCTTCTTATCCGCTTATCTCCGTCATAGCGTGCAATTATTACCAGTGCCCAATGCTAGGGCGATTATTTTGTTGTCGTAGCAGGAGACGCTGCTTCGTCGAAAATTATGAATTGTCAATTAATTATTATATAGAGATTTTGTCTGATCACTTAATCAAATTTGTGTTGTAAATTTAAGTTTAACTCACAATAATAAGGATTTAGTGGTGTAGAGGTATCATGGGCGCTTGCCACTCTGTGTGCGCCCGACCCGGGTTCGATTCCCGGCTGAATCATGATTTGAAAATTTAATTTTTTTACCAATCATGCCTCAGGCAGGTTTAAAATGTCCGAGCTTCCCTATTTTGCCAGTTCATTCGTCGATTCTCTTACAAGCAAAATGATAATTAAAAAAACTCGTTTCATTGTTCTCGCCCCCCTTCACTACCGACAGTTTGTGTTTCCTTTAGCCATTCAGCTGCTGCCGCGACGTTGAATCCATCAACTACTCCCAATTGACGAACAATTGCTTCCCGTCACACTTTTTCATACAGTTTTATATAACATTGCTGTGTAATCATCACCACCCCAATCCATGAGACCCGGAAGAGAACGGTATGGCAGCGGTTGTTAAAAACAGCGAGTGTTTCGCAAACTGTTTTGAAATATGCTAACGCATTCATTGCCTAACCATTGTTTCTACGACACCAAACCAACCAACCGGCGACCATCATGCGACGTCACTCGGGAAGTGCATTTCTACTGCATTCGCAAGCGAGAGGAGCTGTGATTTGTTCGCTTGTAAAGTGAGGGGATCCGGGGAGGCTAGGTTTCTCCCAGCTACCGGTGACCGTTAAATGTAACCTGAGTACGGCAGGTAAGGAGGTTTTCATGCTTTTGCCGAGGGGGTCGTAAGTACACTCCGGAAGATGTCTGGCGAGAAAGGATCCCCCCCCCCTTTTTTTTTTTTTTTTTTTTTTACCCATAGAATCTCGAATTTAACCCGATTACGAGTGATATACTATGAAGGTCACTACTTTTTTTTTTCTCCGTATCATACAAGGTATGCTCCACGATGAAGATTCCCGACAAATGCAACTCATAGGAAAATACCCCCGTCAGCCTACAAGTCGCTGCCTCCCCTCAAGGAGGAAGAAGAAGAAGAAAAAGGCTTTTGTGGTAGGAGGAATTGAACTGTAACACCCTCTATCATGTGCAAAAAAAAAAAAAGACATAAATGTGGATTCTGCCCCTTCCCGCAAAGACTCGCGATTGATGTGTGGGTGGATGGATGGATGGATGGTCATTGGCGTTCTGGTTATGATGTTTCGAAATATGTATAATAACAATCACAATCCGCTGACGATCTTTTTTTTCTTCTTTTCTTTTCTTTTCTTTTTTTTTTTTTTTTTTTTTACAGCGGAGTATTACCGTGCCATATGGGTGGAAGGAAGGAAGGAATACCCCACACTTATACTCGGGGTATTTGGCGTGTGGAGTGCGTACCGGATTATATCGTATTGTTTACTGTGGATGTGGTAATTGATCTTGGATGTTGGAAGTTCTTGGTATGGTGAAGGTATACGGAATAAGGTACAGGTGTTTTTTTTTGTTTTTTTTTTTTTGTTTAGGTTAAACGGGGGGGGGGACGAAACTGCTGTACTGTACCTCTGAGTGTACTGTGTACCTCCTCGAAAAGAAAAAGAAAAAAAGAAAGAAAGAAAAATACACCTGCACTGTATCCTGTGTACCTTCACTGTGCCGAGAACTTTGAACATCGCTGGTATGATAGTAGTTGGTAAGGAGTAAAGGAAAGGAAAGGAAAGGAAAGATCCCGGGAGTTCCCGATGCCGCCGCTAACTAACTTAATCCCACTGGCTAGCTCTCTTGCTGGCTGGTCGGACTAACTACCGTCGGTTTGACAGGGGGACTAAAGAACTAGCTGGGCTAGTTTGAACAAAAATTCATTGGTAAAGGATCTAGTATTCAAGATTCAGTGGTGTAGGGGTATCATGGGCGCTTGCCATTTCATCCATTACCGTGTGTCTAACAGTAGTTGGGCGATGGGAGTGGGGTAGTGTTGAGTGCGCCCGACCCGGGTTCGACTCCCGGCTGAATCATTGCCTATGCTCTCACGATACTTCCTTTCTATCGTGTGAGTTTCCTTTTTGCTCTTCTCCCCCCCCTCCCCCCCCCTTTTTTTTTCTCTGTGTGTTGAGTTCTGATGTTGAGATTTTGGCGGTGAGGTTGGGAATTACTTGTTGTGGGTTTTCGAAGTGTGGCTGGTTATAGGGTGGGAGAAGAGGGGGTTTGGGTGCCACAATTATCGTACGCTACCGGTAGACTTGGTTTCACCGGTCTGGTCCCGGGGGGTTTAATTGCTGCTTTATGGCACCGGTATGCGCAGGATGGTAAATAGAGGTTGGCTGGTTGGGTTGGGTCGGGGTGTATTTAAGGATTGAATGAATGAATGGATGGATGGATGAAGGTCATACTATTACAACTGAAACTAATATTGATGACCGCTGGGTCGATTCTGAATACCGTCTGTTGGCTGCTGCTTATGTATGATGCGCGCAACGGAACGGGAGAGCGCAGGTCTTTGAATTTGAAGAAGGGCATGTTATGTGAGGAAGGGAAGGGAAGGGAAGCAGAGACTGTTCTGCAGCCTATGATGCCGTACTGTCTGATTCGTTTTTTTTGTTTTTGTTTTGATATGCTGAAGGTATCACAGACGTACCGTAATGCGCAAAAAGAGAGAAAGAGTGAGAGAAAGAAAGAATCCGGTACGGTAGGCAACAGATTCTACTGCAACTACCCCACATACCCGCGATACCTGCTTACCTATCTAAACCCCCCCCCCCTCTCTGCACAGAGCGGACTCCCCTGGGGAATATTTACAGTATTCATTTATCGATGCGGCTACGCTAACTGATAATCCCGTATTACAACTTTGTACAAGTACCAGGGGATATGTTATCGTACAAGACAGGGATTATTAACTGCAAAATAATCCCTGTCTTGCACGAAAACATATCCCCTGGTACTTGTACAGTACAGTACGTACGGTGCGCCTCAGACAGACAGTTTACTTTTTTTTCTTCTTCTGGAAGCAGGAGGTAGGAGAGATGGGACTAAAATACAATTCTATAATGGTGGGTCCCCCTAACAACGGGCGGAAGGGGGAGGAAAAACGGAAGCTGGGTTTAGGGCATAGGGCAACCACTTGCAGCGCTGTGTGGTTCGCACACAGGTCATTACTTGTGGAAGTATATCAAGGGGTACTTGAACTGTGCGGTACAGTGCTTGGTGTTTACCCCTCTCTCTTGCTGGGGAGAAAGTATTACTGTATGTATAGAAGAATCGTTATTATAGCATTAAAGTTAAGCTGGTTTGTCTATGATATTGCAGAACGAATCCTCCTTACTTCACCCGCTGTACTTTGTGGAGTAAAAGCACAAAGTTCCTTTAACAAACAAACACACTAGCAAAAGCTTACGGTAACACACTACCGTAAATTTACAGTAACAAAAACCCCAAGAAGAAGAACACACACACATACGCACGCGCAGAAAGAAAGAATGAAAGAATGAAAAAGCTTTTTCTTCTTCCAAAACTGCCGTACCGTAACCAGGTAAGTTATTCCTCCCTCACCTTACCTTATACCTGGTCTCCTCACCTCAACAAACAAAAAACAAACAAAAAACAAACAAACAAACCTTCCCCGGCCTCACACAACCATCATCACCATCACTATCACCATCATCATCATCATCAAATTCTCCCACCTACCCAGCACAGCATATACAAGGAATAAGAAGTGGTAAGAAAAAAAGAAAAAGAAAAAGAAAAGAAAAAACGCAATTCGGAGCAAAAGAACCATTCCAGAACATTTCCGAAATGGAGGAAAAGGAAAATAAAAACAAAATAATCCATGGTACTCGAGTACGCTGTTCTGACCTTATCCTGGTTCTTTTTTTTTTTTTTTTTTTTTTTTTTGCAACACACCTGTTTCGAATTGATGCGGAGAATTTATCTTGATCCCATGTTTTGTTTGGGGGTGGATGATGATGATGATAATAATAAACAATGGATGGGTGGATACGGTAGGATGGGATGGGAAAGTTGTTTATTTCGCACGGTGTTTTGTGCGGATAGGATGTGGGGATTCTGAGTCAAGTTACACTGATTCTGGTTTGTTTTTCTTTTTGTTTTTCTGCTCGTCGGTTGCTCGAGAGTAGACTATGGCTGGTGAATGAAGCTCGTCGGTGTGCCGAAATTTGTGGATTACGTCAGCGCTCGGATACCGCATCATAATAAACATTTTGTCTGTCTCTGTCAGTCTGCTTGCTTGGCTTTGGCTTGAATGAATTGCATCATAGATTTTTTTTTTTTTTTTTTCCTTCTCTTCTTTCCCGCTTTTTTGGTTGACTCGCTCGCTCGCTTTTTGTACCGTATCATCTCATGAAAGTCGGATTGGAACTAAAGGGAAACTAAAGGCAACCGAGCCAATAGAAGGGCATGAAGACCGCCTACTCGCCACAGTTTAAATACTGTAGAGAGCAGCGATTGGGCAGCTTCAAGAAAATCCTCACTAGCGCCATTCCGACTTTCATGAGATTCTAGTATTCTACGGTATGGTGCCGGCACCTTAGAACCTACCCTCATGACAACCAAAGATTGACGGATATTTCAACTTATTATAACAACACTGGTAAGTAAGATTTTTAGAATCCCTTCTGTAGAGTTTTTCTAATTGGTTATTAGAACATATCTACAGAGCGATTTTCTTTTAACTCTTCTGGTTGGGGATTTATAGGGCACCAAAGTTTGTATGGGATGGAGGACAGTGAGACTTGTATGGGGAAAAAAGGTTTTTGGTGAATAATTAGCCAAGATACTTCCTGATCCGGCATGGTCCATTACCAAATTAGGACTAGTGACCCTGAGTCGCTGTGAGACTCAGGGTAGGTTCTAAGGTGCCGGCACCATACTAGTGCTTGTGCTTGCCTGCAAGGCCCTACTTCATGGAGTATGCTTGCCGTGCAGTGCCGAGTCTGACGGGGGAAGGGGGAAGGGAAAATGTAGATTTAGCGAAATGCGGACATTGCATTGCATTTTTCGGATTGAGGGGTTGTTTGGAGGTTAGTTGGGGACGATCGAGAGCTTATGTTACGGCGTGCAGTAATAGGAGTCTATGGATGGTGCGTATGATACAGCACCCTGATCGGCTGGCTGGTTAGTTAGCTATGGTACTATGGTACCGGTACGATAGCTACCTGTGCAGTCAGTGTTAAGGTAGCTGTGCTTGAGGAGGAGGATAAAAGACTTTCGGCAGAGGATGAGGAGGAAGAGGAGAAGAATTTGCTTGCTTGCCGAGTTTCGTCTTCAGTGGCTGGGATGCGGGATCTGTGGAGGCTTGAAAACTATCTTGGCTCTTACGTACGGTACGCCCTGCAGTAAAATTCAGAACGCTCCAGAAGCAAGGATTTACCTGGGAAGAGACGAAACGAGACGACCGTTACAAGCAAGTCTAATCAATAGATTATCTTGGCAGAAAGCACCCACATAAGTAGACCAAACAAAAAAGTTTGAAGGTGTGGCGCAGGGCTACCAAAATTTAATGATGGGTTTAGGAGGGAGGAAGCGCCTTATGCCTTCTTTTGTTACATCAAATTCATTCACCCTACTTGTCCCGAGCCCCACCTCAGAACTTGATATACGATACGATATGGATGCGGGGAAGACAGACAGACACAGAGAGTCAGACATGCAGGGCAAGGTCGTCCGCCCTATCTCTCAAGAAAGAAGAAGCAGTAATCTGGGAATCATGCAAAGATCAACTCGCAAAGTAGAGACAACCGAGGGGGGTGATGGTGGTGCTTCGTCTTTATCAACGAGCGGAGTCATGGCCGAAAGGGACATATATATACCGTACAGTGCCGTACCCTATTCAACATCAGGTTCCGCATACTCTAGGAGGGAAATGGCTCAAACCGAGTTTTACAGACTCTTACCAATGCAGCAGCACTTTCTGAATAATCAATCAATCATTTTTTTTAAGAAGAAAAATACAGTGATTTTGAAAAAGAAGATAAGGCAAGGCTGTTCAATGATTTATTAGTCACTCTGACTTGAAAATTTTATGGCTTGGGTAATAATTAGGTTTGTTCACGAATTCCGGGGAGTCCCATATCACGAGATCGGTAAGCACTTTATGTCTGCGGGAGATTACTTAATCTGAATACGGTACGGTGCAACACGGGGATTGATCTTGAGAGAGAAGGGGAGAGAGAGAGTTCGACACGAGATTGGTTTGCCTGTGCCTTGTTGATGATAGCTTCTTTAGGGTTGATATGCTCCGATATCATACGGTATCATACCGGTACTCTTCGTTGTGCGATAGGCCTTGTTGACTGACCCGTTGGGCGCGCGGTCGTATCGTTACAGTCGTTAGTTGCACTCGGGACCTTACTTGTATGATATGTACAGTACCGTACAACTTTCCTCTTTGGCAAGGACACAGTGACTGATGGGGGCTGTGCTGTGCTGTGTCAGGTACCGGTAACTTACGAGCACGATACTAACCGCAGCATGTGCAAATGCTAGTTTATTCTCCAGGACGGCTTTGACACCGCCAACTGTTCGGCATGAAGTCAAACGAGGACTATCATATCATGCTATATCAAGACCCGACTGGGAGGTGACTTTTGCATGTGTGCACTGTGCAACTATTGTGCGGTACATGTGCCAATTGAGTTTTTATATTTTTTTTTTTTTACACTAATTGCATTCGATACCATAAAACGGGTTTGCGTTTTTTCTCCATTGCATGCACTTGTGCTGTACCTATAGAGGCAGGTCTGCTGTGGCGTTAGGTTGTTCGTCGGCTGGGAACAAGAAGCAGGTGTGCAGTTGCAGAGGAGTACTGGTAAGCGGGTGGTTGGCGTATAAGACGGTAGGAGAACTTGTACAGATACGGTAGAGTAGCGTATCATAGACCTGGGAGAGACTACCGTAACTTGAGCTTGTCTGGTTACTTACTATCTTGCATCGAATACCGCACTGTAACTTAGTTCTCGCACAGAATTATACTGTACGCCCAGGAGAGTTTAGATCT